CAGTGAGACTTCTAAACTCAAGTGTGTAGGCTGTGGAGTTGTATCTTCAAACCAGAGTTGCAGGGGTACATCGGCCTGAGGGAGTGGTCCCTTAAGTGGAGGTGACCTTTGCAGGGAATGGAGATAAGCTGCTGGTGACAAGAAAGGAGAACAAGTTGCCTCTGCTAGAGAAGGACGTGGTAGGAAACTGCCCGTTCCAATTAAGGAGCCCCAAGGGCTGACTCCAGCACAGGTGGCCGAATTGAGGGTGTCACTAGAGAAGCAACAGAAATCTTTTCTAAGGATGACTGTAGCAGGGCAGTTACCCCACTCCTGGAAAACAAGGTTAAAAACTGATTGGGTGTGGCCACAGCTGTGGCTGCCTCCCCAATCAGGCCACACCTGGCCCTGTTATAAGGGCTCAGGGAGGAGCTGGGTCAGTCTCATTCCAGCTTTGAAGTGGGAAGGACCTAGCTGCCTGGGAACACAGGGTACCAGAAACAGAGCAATGCTGAGGAAAGGCAAGAGGAGCTGGGGAGCTCCAGCCTGGCAACTCCCAAGGCTGAGGCCTTGTTAAAGGCCCAAGAAGGTATTGGGGCTGCAGAGGGGCAGCCCGGGCTTAGGCAGAGGCAGCTGATCCAACCCCCTTGCCAATGATGAGTGGCCATTACAGACTTCAGTTTGCCCCAGTGAGTGGGGGCTAGATGACAACAGGCAGCAGCCACTGAGGCAAGGTGGGTATAAGGGATTGGGGGTTCTCCTGGTTGGGCAGAACCCCAGAGTAAGGAGCACCGGGGACTGGGAGGGACACGGGGCCTGAGGCAGGCAAGACACTGGCCAGCAGGAGGCGCTCTGGAGATGGAGCTAATTCCCAGACTGACCAGCAGGAGGTGCCGTGCCGGTGAGTGCTCAATGTGCTACAATGACCAAGACTTTGGTTATACCACCCTGGTTATGCATATACACACGGTGGTCACTAACCCAATGACAGCAGAAACATCAGAGAAGATTTCCCCAAGTGTTTTGAGGTTAAAAAGCATGTCCAGAATCTGATATTCCAAGGTGTTCTTAAGGAAAGCCACAGTGCCTGGGCATTGCCTGCAGTAATCATGATCAAAAAGGATGGCAGAGTGGTTTGGTTGTGATTTCAGGAAACTGAATGAAGTGGCATGCAAGGACATCTCCCCACTGCTCTGTGTGGAGAAATCATTAGATGTGTTGGGAAATGCAAGAGTGTTCTCAACTCTTGCTCTGACTTTGGGCTATTTTTATGTAGCAGCGGAGGCACAAGATAGGGAAAAGACTGCAGTACCGACTCCTTTCAGGCTGTTTGAATGGACATGATTACCATTTGGCTTGTGCAACGTGCCTGCTACATTCCAGAGGCTACCAGAGGGAGTGTTGGCAGACTACGTTCTGGACACCTTGTTGATATATCTAGATGATATTACTGTGTTCTTCAGAGACTTCAAAAGTCATATAGAAAAGCTGGATTTGATCTTCGCATATTTGAAGGAGCATGACTTGAAACTGAAACCTAGCAAGTATTGCCTTCTGCAAGTGGAAGTCAAATTCTTGGGCTATATGATGTTGACGGATGGCATCCAGGTAGAAAAAGAGAAGACCAAGACATTGGAAAAACTGGCCTGCCTCTACTACAGACAGTTCATCCCCAAATTTCCACACATTGCTGCACCTTTACATCAGTTAGTGGCAGAGGCGTAGCGAGCGCCCTCCGTACCCTCCGACCGGAGGGGGCCCAGCAAGGAAGGGGGCCCCTAAAAGTGGCAAAATAAATACCGCATTCCAGTTTCTGCATTGTAAGGGGCCCCGCCCGGGCGTATATTCGGAGGGGGCCACGTTCTTTGTTGCTACGGCCCTGGCTGGTGGGCCAACTGGGCTGAAAGAAGGGGAATGACCAAGCACTACACTTTGTGTGGGATGCTGCCTTGTCAAGAAGCCTTCGATGAGCTAAGACTACAGTTAATGACACCAGCTGAACTTGCATATCCTGACTTTAGTCTGCCTTTCATAGTGACCAGAGATAAGATCCTCCATGGCCTAGATGCGATACTGAGTCAAAAGCAAAGGGGGGCTGAACGTGTGGTTGTGTATATGAGCTGTAGGTTAAGGCATTCAGAGAAAAATGACAAGAACTACAGTGCTTTTAAGCTGGAGTTGCTTGCCCTTAAATGGGCTGTCACAAAAAAGTTTAATATACTCTATGTTCACGATGGTTTCAGATCACAATCCTTTCCAGTACCTGCCAACCACCAACCTGGATGCTGTTGAGCATTTTTGAAGTGCATTGCAAGCTGGGAAGACAAAATATCAATTCTGACTTCTTATATTGACTGTCCCCAATGGAAGAACCAGAGGAGAGTGAGGATTTAGAAAAATATTTCCTAGTAATCCTTGAAGATGATGTGTGGGTATGCCTGTGGCTGGAGGAGCCAGAACCTGAGGGTTATTGATGAGTGAGGAAAACTTCCCAGAATGCAGGGGGGGGAGAAATCCTTTGCCTTTCAGGAATGACCTAATGATTTCAGGGTACTCCTGGGAAGAAGTTCAGGTTCTGCAGCAGCAGGGTAACATCAGATTAGTCCTAGCAGCAGTTGTGAAGAGAACTAGATCTATCTGGACATTTGGAATCAAGGACCCACAATCCAAGAAATTAAGCCAGCAGTGGAAACAGCTTAAGTTTCACCGTGGAGTGTTGACCTGGGTTTTATATGACCCAAGAGAAGGAGAAGAGGTGAGGCAACTGGTAGTGCTGGTATCACTATGCAAGCAAGTTGATGAGGCTAACCATGACCACGGAAGGCATTTCAGAGATAGGAGTACCCTGGAGATAAGTTATTACTGGCCCATGATGGTAGTGATGTCCAGTCCTTGGTTAAGCAATGCAAGCAATATGCCCTAGCCAATGACATTTCTTCGTATCAGCGCTCCTTTAATTTGCATCAATGTTACAGCCCCAATGAAGTCTTAGCAATGTACTACACCCTGCAAGAGAAGAATGAAAATGTGTTAGTCCTCACTGACATGTATATCCAGCAACACATCCAGGTCCAGGAAGAAGATACCGGACTTGCACATTTGTTGTAACTGAAATTTACTGCACTTCAGAGACTGCTGCATTGAACCTTACCCAAGCCACTTCCTCTCAATGTTTATGCTGCGCAGTGTTGTTTAATCCCCAAGAAATGGTGTTGGTGTAAATGGAGTGTGTGAGTGTTTAAGTGAATTGCAGTGATTAAAGGGTTACCAGTGAGTTAGTAATATCCTGGAGTAGGGGCACCCTCATCCCAGCCAATAGATGCCCATGGATAAATATCCAGGAACCCCTGGGCTCAGTCCTTCCTGTATGATGTGAGTCCTATTCACTTGGCACCTGGAGGGAAAGTAAAGATGGGCAGGACCAGGGGGAAGTGCATTCAGGTGGGGACTCGGATCCTTTCGTCACTTGGTTCAGCCAGGGTACTGTGTACAGAGAGAAATTTCCCTACTATGGTGGGACAAATCCCCTGCTTACACACAGACTGAGTCGGAGGCTGCGGAAGGGAGACCTGGACCCAGATTATGCCAGTTCTGTGCCTGTTGGAGATTTCCCCTTCCCTGGATATACTCAACAAGGAGCCATTTTCCACTCCCTTGCACTGTCTGAATGCCACAAAGGGAGGAGATCAGAGCTGGGAATCTTCCCTTACATTTCTATTTTATTGCCCACAGCCCAAATGTACCTTTAACAGAAAACTCTACTGACCTGAGGTTTATAAAGTGGCTATGTCACAAGAGAGTAAAAATTGCATTGACTTATGAATTTGCATGATACATCACTGATTATGGTACACAGGGGAAGCTATAATTTGCATAGATGTTTGGGTCATCCCTGTTCAGAAAGAATCTACATCTTGATAACCCTGAGCAGATATAATTAGGGATATAAAATTAAGGCTACATAAGCATGAGGACAAATATTTCTGGGGCAATGCTGATTTTGTCAGCAAGTGCCTTATTGTTTCACTGGGGCTTGGTTTTATGTGTTTCAGCTATGTGAGCTTTTAGACAGCCCTCTGCATTTTCATGCATCTTCCATTGCTGTCTGTATTCCCCTTGAGGGAGGGTAATTGAACATACAGAGCGTCAGGAGTGACTCATTTAATCCAGTCAGGTTGTGATTAGGCTTTCAGAGCATTTGCATCACAGCAAGATGCTTGTGTCAGATTGTACAGCTGAATATTACACTCAGCATTGAAGATTAAAATGAAAAATGGACCAAGCGTGAAACAGTAGCTGAAGGTACTGGTATAGATAAGCAGCCTTGTCCTCATTAATTTGTCTGCAGTGAGCGACAAAGATCTGTTAATTTTGTCTTTGCAGCTGATGGAAAATGATATGATAGCCTGATAGAACCAGCAACAACCTCCCTACAAAAAATATCTGTACAAGAACAAATCAAAAACAACCTCTTCCAAGAATCCCGAGGAAGACTGTGTAGCTCTCAGTAACTCTTTGTTCACTGCGGTATACTTCACAATATGCTGTAGAGAGGTTTTGTTTTTTAGGGGTTTTTTTATGAATGGTAAACTGGGAGGGGCATAATGTCATCAGATCCTGATGTCAGCACAATGAATGAAATGCTTGCATAGCATATTGCTCCAAGACCAAGAAAACAGACACCACCTCAGATTGGCTTCCTAGAACAAATTGTCTTTTGCTGACGAAATCACCATTCCCACGTGTGTTGAATAATCCATATAAGTTAGGATTTAGATAAGCAGAGGACATGAAGATACACATGGAATAATACAAATTTGATCTCTTACACATCCCTTTAAGAGCTGTTGGTGGATCACCCCTTCTGCAGGCACTGCTAATGGGCTCAGTGAACTGAAGACGTGTCACTGTATTTTTGTTGTTTTCTATCTAGCCCAATGTTCTGCTTTTGCCTGCACAATTCTTTGTTAAAGCTACAAGCCCTTGAAACTGACTTGTGCTCTGCATTTTTGCCAACCCAGGAAGAAACTCCTCAGGCTTTCAAGGATCCTCCAGCCCCTTCATCAATTCAATCCAGTGTGCAAATTGATGGGGCTAGTTGTGGAGGTAAGCTGCTATGTCATGATGTGTCCTCATTTGCAATTACAAGGTAGTCTTATGTTCCAATATAATCTAATATTTGCAGCCCCATGGAACACAGCACAGATGAAATGTGAAGGCTGAAGCACAATGAGCTGCTGCAAATGCTAAAAAATGTAAACAAAGGGATAAGATGTGTTAGTAAGGATAGAAATAAATTGCAGCAATCTTCTACTTTTCCTAGGTACCGCATTTTGCTTTACAGGCAATTTTAAGAGTCCAGATTCCTTCTTTTTTAGTTTGAGCTGTATGTTTCTTTCAAGAGAGTTATGTTCTTTATTTCTTTACTGTGTTGCATCTGCATTGTGTGTGTGATATTCTGCCATTTCATGTAATTCTGTTTTGCAATTTTTTTTGTCAGAGCAATGTCACTTCATTTCTCCTATTATTGATTTTAATTTAATGCATCAGCAGAGAGATAGTGAAGGTGAGTTTTACAGCACGTTGATTTTAATCATTCATGAATCTGCCTTGTCCATCTTGCATATTATGATGTGTTCCTTTTTCTTTTCTTAGCCCTATTCACAGAAACTAATTCCTCCAAATAAACGGCCCTAACACTTGGCATCATTTTCTGTCTGTTCATAGTTTATAATCACAGGGATGGCTGAATCATGATTTTAAGCAGAAGGAGAATCATTGTTTCTGAAAAATAGGTCATAGTTAATAAGACTAACATACCACACAGAGGAATGATATGTAAACTTAAATTGTGTATGGTCAACATTAAGGCAAATAGGTCAGTAACACGAGGCCTAATCCTAATTCTGCAAGGTAAATTTTATGAGTAAAAGAAAGGTGAGTTCAGAAAAGCTTATGTCAGAAGCTGTTTGTTTGGATTTTCTGTAAAATGCGATTATCTATTTTATATTCTTTTGATTACTTACGCTATTCTACTTTAGACATTCTCAAATGATGGTGATGTACTGCAAAAAATAAGGAATAGTTACACATAACCCTAATCATTGAAAATCTAAGCAATGCAAAGGATGATACATACTGTAGCCAAAAAGAGAGTGTAGCATTTTGGCTTCTGAATTGATTAGGAATAGGTTGTTTGGGTTTTTGTGTGTTTTTTCTGGCTGCTGCAACATAGGTGGAAAAACACCTTAACAGGTTTCAAATACAGCTGTAGGAATTCCTAACAAGCCTAGTTTCTCACCTGTATATTTGAGTCAAGAATGGAGACTATGCAAATACTACACAGGGCAAAGAGGTCTTGTAGTTTGCACTAAAACTGCATTGGCTCTTCCATTCATTGGCAAGGTCAATTTTTTGTCCTTTTCCAATTTAACACAAATATTTTGCTTCTGCAGTTTCATAATTCATAATCAGAGAACACTTGATATTCAATGGAAGACTCTGCAACCTTTACCTTTGATTTGATTCTGACTGTATTTAAACTGTTAAAAATCTCCCACTTCAAATAACACTTACAGCATTAATCTGTTCATTTACATTTACACAGCAGGATACTGGAAGATGTAGCATTTCTCTCACACAGTCCAAATAGAGCATGATCTGCCATTCAGTAGTTTCCAACCTGTGCGTTAGGGGAAGCTTGGTTATGCATTCATATGCATTAGATATACATTGTTTTGCAGTAGCACCTGCTTTTGGCTGTTTTTGTTTACTGACTTGTTATTTTAACATAAACAACACCAGTCCTTTTTCTCTCTCTCTTAAACTACTGGTGGAATTTATCAGTTCAATCAGTTGAAACACAGTAATCACAGAGGTCTAGATTCTGCTATCAATTATATCAATGTAATTTGGATGAAGTCGGTGGATTTATACCAGGATAACTGATATCAGAATCTGGCCTTTAGGGTATTTTTAGTGCTGGGCAAATAATGGATATTTCAGTTCATTGGGAATTTTGAAATATTGAAAAAAATATGTTTTGGGTCAAACCAAAAATTATTATTTTTTAAAATTTTCAGTGAATCAAAAAGTTGAAAAAAATGTAGAGTTGTGTTGAAATGTTTCAATTTGGGGGCATTTTGCCAGAAGCCAAGGAGGACTAGATTGCCAAAACACTTGGGCTAGGGAGATGGTGTGGGAGAGGAGAGAAGGACCTGCAGTCCCTTATAATCTTTAGTAAAGTGGTGAAGGTACTCTCCAGGGATGTGGAAGACCTGAGTTCTGTTTCTCCTTCTGCCTTATGTGGAGAAGGAGCGGGAAGTTAGGTCTCCTAGTTTGCAAGAAAACTTGGTACAAATTCAGAAACCATTCCAGGCTGACCAAATCTGCATTTTTTTCAGTGAATAAATAGTGATATTTAAAATTTAAAATGCATAATTTTGTAATATAAACATGATTACATAATAGATTTCACTTCTCTGATTTCACATTCCAATTAATAAAAGTAAAGGAAATACCATTTTTATGAACCAAGGTTAACTAGAGCATACTGGCAAAACAATGTAATGCTTAGGATGCAATTTTTTCTAGGGATCCCACAATGTTTAGTGACTCTCATTCTATAAGTCCCTGAGGACTGTGCGGGACAAGCATGTTCAAATTTACTTACGAATCCGTAACTTCTTGAACCAGTCTTTGTATAAGGAGGCTATGATGAATTTCAATGATCATGTATTCAAACATATTAAAATAGGAGGAAATAAAATTAATGAATGTAAATAATTACTTCGCATAACTTTGGGGTATGTGGCTACATAGCTAACAAAGTGTGTATCTAACTGTGAGTGGTTGAACTATAAGAAGTTTTACATGTCTTTTACGAAAAATGCTAATTCTCTCAATCACTGACACAGTATATATTTGAATGCATATGTATATTATACCTATATATGTAGTTTTTCACATGTAACAGATGTGGATAATTTTTATTTTATTTAACTGTTTAAGAACATCATGTGAGAACACAGTTTTGAAATTGTTTCTATGGTAGTTTTAATGTCCCCATTGATCAGGCATATTGCATGTTTTGCATGTGTTACTAACCCTTGGCTTAATGTCAGATTTTGAGCTCTGGTTTAGTGCTGACATTAGACCAAATTTGTCGGATTAGGATAGATGTAGGATTGGAGCCAGTTTGCTGGTTTGGGTTAAGGATGGTTTTAGCTTTTGATTTTTCACTAAGGTTAAAAGGCTAGGGTAAATGATGGGCCCATTCATTGGTCTAGGCTAAAGCCTGGGATCCTTTTGAGGGCCCAGGCTGGAGTATAGAGTTGATGCCAGGATTGTGGCCTGAAACTGTTAAGATTGGGGCCAACTTGTGAACTTGGGCTAGTGCTAGGATGCCATGAGTTTAGGACCGTGGCTATGGTTGACATTGGACTGTTTTATGGGCCCTATCTAAAATTGTGCTTGGGTCCTGTGATGGGGGACACTCTCACCGCTTGTAAGTGCCTCTTGCCAGGTGGATGCGAACCTGCACTCTCTCTGTCTCTCTCTCTTCACGGTGCCCTCTAACGGCTGTTGCCCTTGTCGGGCGGGTCTTCAGTGGCTCAGCCCTCCAGCCAAGTCACACACAATCAATATGAATGAACGCACAAACCCTTTCCACGGTAAAAAGTCCAACCAGGCTTGTCCCTGTGCCATTGGTGATGTCTTTAGCCATTCCTCTGGGCTCAGTTCTCAGCCCCTTCTGGGCTACCTTTAAGTCTCTGTCTGCCCTGGTATAGAGCAATGCCTCAAGGGCTTTCTCTCTGGAGACTCTTTAAGTCCTACCCTTCACTTGGGCCTCTAAACAAGCCTTATCCCCTTCTCGGGGCTTAGGTCACCCTGCCAATGGCCAGTAGGGGGACCTCTACCTGCCCAGTACTCCAAGTCCTGACCCAGAGACCCTATAAATAGCAGCCACGTGCTTCTTCCTGCAATAATTGCTGCTGCTATTCTCTGGGCCACTTCCCACTTAGCCCCTTCCTTTTCACCTTTACCTCAGGGCTGAAGTTCTTCCTCGCGGAATGCCAATGTCAGCAGAACCCATCTTCTGATTCTCCCTGGAGCTCCAGCAAGAAGCATCTTTCTTGCTCCTCTGGTCTCTGCCAGGAACTGCTCAGCCCCTGCAACTCCTTTTATCTGAGCCTGCTGAGCTTTGATAGGATGCTTCCCAGGCCAAGAGGACCCACCTTTACTGCTCCTTTTCTGGGGTGGGGTGTGGTAGGATCGCAACACCTCCAGCAGGGCGCCTCAAAGGGCCTGGTACATCCCATCACAGGTCCAATTTAGGAGCCCAGGATATTTTTAGGGCCAGTTCGTGTGTTTAATCTAGGCTTAGGGGTATGAGTAGTGCTGTGGTTGCCTTGTGCCCAGCCAAGCTGTAATGAACCCCATTGTTCAAACTTTGTCCATCACTCAGTCTGACCTCATAGTGCTGTTAGTGCCTCATAGTGGCATAACACTTATGCCATTGAAACTTATGTCACACAGAGGTCTATTTTTTCACACCCCTGAGCAACATAAGTTTTGCTGTCATAAGTGATAGTGTAGACATGACCTTAGCCTGCCCAGAGAACAGACAGTCTTCTTCCCCCGCCCCCTTCCCTGGGCAACAATGCAACATATAGGGGAAACTAAGACACACTCAGGATTCATAAAAATATTACAAAAAATTCCCACTTCATCACATCTTGTATTTGGCAGAAGTACAGATTTGTGAACAGCCTCCACCGAGAGCCCCAGATTCAGAGTGCAAAATATGGAAATCTTTCTGCTGCCCTTATGGTATTCAGGGACCTGCCAAAATTTTAACAATGCCATTTTTTTTTGACAGTGCAAACCCCAGTACTTAATATGGTTTCGGAATAAGAACACTTCCTTTTAATTATGCTATTTCCACCTGTCCCCACAATGATTCCTTATGTTTCTCAAAGCTTGAAAAGTATGCAAAATTTAAAAGGAGTTAATGCAGTTCATTCCAGAGGACACCACAGTATTGTTTTTGAGGGGGAAAAAAAGTAGGTTAGATTCATGTAGTAATTGTATTATGTCTTTTAAACCAATGAAGGGATTCACTGACAGAAGATAGCATTGTTGCTTACCTTTGCTACGTAGCATTCGTTAATCCATTTATTTCACATATGAATTGTTTGTGCAAGTCACCAACTTAGGCAGGTACAATGTTCTAGCCTACATTTCTTCAAAATTCCTTTCTGCATATTTCACTGGAGAAAGGATTTGGATCTCTCACATACTCTACAAATTCTGGACAATATAGGTCTGGGGAAATATTTTTCCATGTATTTTTCCACAGTGTGTGTCTTATAACCCGTTTTTTTGTCAGTTGATAACCATGAAAGTTATAAAAGACAGTGTAAACTTTTTCATTTTATTTACATTTCATTGTAAATCACCAGCCTACACTATATTTGGTGGGTTCACAAAATGTAAAATGGTCATTTATATTGAGATACATTAAAAAGATTATATAGTGCTTACACTGTTAGCTAACAAGTGATGTTCTGTAACTCTGGAATAGAGTATTTTGCTGTTTTTAACATCATTACATGCATTTGTAATATTTTATTTTGCATTTTTATTTTACTTGTTTTCCTAAATTGTGTAATTATGGGTCAGCACAGGACATGCATAGTCTCTGCATGGCTTTTATATCTTTTGATAAATCTGTTCATACTGGTTCCTCTTTCCAGGGGATTTATTTAAGGGGGTGGGGGAGTACAAATGGGGAGAAAATGATTTTTCTGTCCTGCAAAATATTTCAAGATTTCAAAATTGTTCACAGTCTACGTTGGGATGAAACCGAGACTTTTCAAAAAAAAAAATTGCAAAAAAACTCCTCCACACAGAGAGAGGGAATAGCCAATAGCCCAGTGCTTATGGCACCTTTCTGGGATGTGGAAGACAGGAGATCCAGGATCAAGTCCCTGCTCTACCTGATTCATGGCCCAGGATGGAATTTCTGGTCAAATAAGAGCGAGAGAGAGAGACCAAGCTCCACCTCAGAATAGCCAATAGCCAAGTGACTAGGGCACTCCCTCATCTCAGGTGAATGCCCTAACCACCAGGCTTATTGGCTGTGCTGGGGTGGGTCTCTCTCCCTCTGTCCTCTTGGAGCTGTTAGAGCATTCTCCTGGGATGTGGGAGTGCCATAACCACTGGGCTATTGCCTATTCTGGGGTGTGTCTCTCTTTCTCTCTCGTTTGACCAGAAATTCCATCCTGGACAAGAGAAACCTTCCCAAAGAAACTTTTATCAAAGCCAAGATACTTTTCACAGAAATGTTTCAGTTTCAACTAATCAGCACTTTCTGATGACAATCTATTTCATTGACAAATTTCCTGACCAGAACTAGTTGTGACAAATAAGGCCAATGTACCTGGTTTGTAATTCTGTCCAATAATTTTTTGCTTAATAATTTCTACTTCATTGGTCAAATTCTCCTCTCCAGCATACTAGTAGCTCCTCAGGCTTCAGTGAAGTGGGAGAACTGGCTATATCACGGGTCGGCAACCTTTCAGAAGTGGTATGCCAAGTCTTCATTTATTCACTCTAATTTAAGGTTTTGTGTGCCAGTAATGCATTTTAATGTTTTTAGAAGGTCTCTTTCTATAAGTCTTTAATATATAACTAAACTATTGCTGTATGCAAAGTAAATAAGTTTTTTAAAATGTTTAAGAAACTTCATTTAAAATTAAATTAAAATGCAGAGCCCCCCAGACCGGAGGCCAGGACCAGGGCAGTGTGAGTGCCACTGAAAATCAGCTCGCGTGCCACCTTTGGCACACGTGCCATAAGTTGCCTACCCCTGGGCTATATTGCTTAATTTGTCTGCACAGGAAGATGCTACTGCTTATTGTTGGCCTCAGCACCCCCACTATAAAAATTGTTCCAGCATTCCTGGCTGTACGGGCAACCGTAATTCTAATTATTTAGCACATCACTTTGCAACCATTATAACCTGCTTCTACCATGTTTTTTAATGTCAAAGTGTCTGAATCAGTAATGTGGTACACTGTAAACAAATACTCTATTCATATATAGATTAATATTCCAAACAGAACTATTTATATTGCTCCTAAAAATGAAAACAAGTAAAATAAAAATGCAAAATAAAATATTACAAATGCATTTAATGATGTTAAAAACAGCAAAATACTCAATTTCAGAGTTATAGAACATCACTTGTTAGCTAACAGTGTAAGCACTATATATAATCTTTTAAATGTAATCTTTTTAATTTAGGAAAATTTTGTGTTGTGTTGCCTGTAACATAGAAACAATTGGACAATGTCTGATAAAATAATATTTTAGATCATTTAAATCTATTTATTTTGAAGTCGGTGCCCAATTTTCTGCTTTCGAGGAGGGAGGCTGCTTGGAGCCACTATTTTCCCAATGCTAAACCAGCTCAGTGATTATCTATTGTGCAGATAATAATTAAAATACAATATAACAGTTCCATCAAAATCTTAATGGAAAAGGCCTTTTTATCTCTGAAAGTCCTACACCCTCACCATGGGAAAATCCACAACTTAGTGCTCTAAATTAATAGGAGTTAGAGGTATGTCTTCTAAATTTTTGTAACATCATTGAGTAAAATTTCATTTTTAATTAAAAGCAAAGGTGAAGGAACATTTTCTGCTTAACATTGCTGCTTAACTGACATCTCCTTGCTGATCTGGGAGAAAATTAATGTTCAATTTCTTCTGCTGAAATTTTTGAGAAATATATGATATAAGGAATCCCTTGTAATGTATGTATGATACACAACTAATTCATGGTATGAACCTACAGTAAATATAAAAATAATTGATGCCGACTCCATTTTTGCATATAGATACAATTTTAAAGAGAACATAATAAAATTAACTTTGCCTAGTTACAATATAATACATTAGTTATTAATATAGATGGAAATTTCTCCCCAGGTAGTTGAGAGAAAACACTCTCTTTTGGAATTGAGAATTCTATTCTGGCTTTTGTAACTTGTTTGTACATATATTTTCAACAGGGCTTTGTATGTTGGTACAGGATTTCGCCATCATGAAGCAGAATCCTCTTAAAAGCACACCCTATGGGAAAAAATACCAGTTAAGGATAAAATTCCGGCCTATTTTGTGTAAGCCTCTTGAGGGTGAGGAAGAGGGAGCAGGGAGTCTCACCCTTTCAATGCAGACTCAGGGCAAGTTATGGACTAGAACTACGCAAGTCTTGTGGCCAATGGGCAAAAGGAGGGAGATGACGTTCATAGACAGATTTAAGACCTGAAGGGACCATTATGATCATCTAGTCTGACCTCCTGCTTAACAGAGGCTGTAGAATTTCACTTAGTGTTTCTTACATCGAGCTGGATCTTGTGTTTGAGCTACAGAATATCTTTTAGAAATTCATCCAGTCTTGATTTAAAGACTTCAAGTGATGGAGGATCCACCGCATAAGTTGCTCCAATGGTTAATTAAGCTCACTGTTGAAAATGCTCCTTATGCATTCCCTCTCTCATACACTAGGCACTGTCCACTCCTTAGGAGCCTATGCAGCCATTAGTGCATGGGGACATTGCTGGCATAATGCCATATACCTAACACCCCAAGGCAGCAGACAGAGTGTACCACCTACATTTTACTGTTTACACAACCAGTTTCAATTTTCTGTTCATGTATATTGGTCTGAATGGGTTAGTAATTAATTTTCTGCAGAGTGGCATCTTACCCTGAGAATTAAGAGCAGAATTCTACAGGATATGGGTCACCAGGCTAGAAGCACTCAATATACTGCATGATAGGGTCCTAAATGTGTTACTTCTGCAGATGTGTCCTATCCTTCTCCTGAGCAAAGGACTGAGCCTTAAATTAGGGAATGAGTCTTATTTTACATCTGTCTTCATATTCTTCTGCAAAGAGTGCATTTCAGAGAAAACTGATTTATAAAAACAGAGAAAATGCTTTTATTCTGAGAAACTTCTCATCTTTCTTTTAACAAAACTTCATGGTTTATTTTTACACACACACACACCTATCTGTATTCCATTGTGGAACTCAGAATACAGTGTTATACCAGTTGCTGTAACCTATGTATCCTCCTTTGTTATGCTCTGATTTGGTACCATGTTCTACCAGTGTATGCTGCATTGCTATACCATACATTATTCATTGTATTAATTGCAAAGTTTTCAAGCATCACACTTTGCTTCCATGAACACATTTGTTCATGTAGATTCTTATTTACCTCTATAGCTAACGAATTAGAGTGTTTTATGAGAGACCTTCAATCCCATATTGATTTGATCTTGTCGTTATAGAGCCTGTACCAGCCCATAGAGTCTGGCAGAGTGACGCAGACAACGGCCCAGAAGACCATCACTCCTTAGGGACCAGTAGACTACTATATCATATTACTGATGGAGATAATCCCCTTCTGTCACCACGCTGCTCAATCTTTAGTCAAAGCCAGAGATTTAATTTAGACACAGAGTCGGCCCCTTCCCCACCAAGTGCTCAACTTTTCATGATGTAAGAAAATATATTTTTAACTTTAATTTTTATTATGTTTGTACAGTCTAGAACATTTGACTCTTCACATTTCTCAGATATGGTCATGTCATTTGCTCTAAACAGGGATGTTTCATAATATAATATAATATAATATAATTTGGCATGATTAATTTGAAATACCATAAATATGACCTAACATTTTCCAATGAGAACAAAGTACAACATTAGCTGAAATCTCAGTTAATTATAGTGTAGTAATGACATTTTTAAAGGTTAGTTCATAATCGTCTGAAAAGTGAACACAGGATAAAAAAGGTTATTAAAGGTCTGATTCAGAAAAGTTCAACTGCAATGGAATTACTGCATGAGTCATTCATTGGAAATGGAAGGCAGTTTCACAAAACATCTGAATAGTCCTTGTAAGTCCTTTTTGGAAATTCTGAGAATTAATTTCATGCTGGAACTCTGTTTTCTTTAAATCTTAAAAATAAAGCTTAGGCAAATACAAATAATCAAGCCTATTTATTCACAAATCTAAAAATGTCACACATGAAATATCCTACACAATGAGTAAGTCTATTGGCAGTAAGGATAGACTCTCTATTGCAATGCTAAATTCCTGTAGAATAGAAGGCACTATAATAATGAAATATTTTGTGCGTTTTTCAAGTTCTTGGCAACTTATGGTGACTAACTCTTAAACAAGAATGTCTACTTTTTAAAGTCCGAAGTTAAAATAGTATACTTACAAATATTTTAACTTGAAATAAAACAAACTTTAAAAAAAATTTTTTTATCCAGCAAACCCATTTTTTTGGTGAATGGAAATTAGTCAGAATCATTTTCAGTGGAGCTGATTGAAAACTTTCTGACTGAACATTTTTCTGTCAGAAAATGCCATTTTCCCAAAATCCAAACTGTTTATGAGAACGTTTATTTTGACAAAATTCTGTTTAAAATAAAAAAAATAATTAATTTTGTTTTGAATTTTTCTTTCATTATATTATAAATTACAATGCAATATAAAATAAGAAAAAAGTCAAAATTGGAATGAAACATTTTAATTTTATTGAAATGAAATATTTCAATTTACTCTCAACTTTTTTTCTGAATTTTTGTTCTATAGGAAATTTTTTTTAAATTGTTTTCATTTTGATTTGGAACAAAAATAAATTTTGTAATGTTAGAATTTCCTGTGGACTGGAATTGTGACCAGCTCTGATTTTCAGTACTACATTTTTACCTGTTGGTGCCAGTAATTAATTCTAATCTACAGAAATCGTTATAGGCTGCCCTCTGGTCTGATTCAGAAAATAGATATCTTCCTGAAATTGGCCCTAAATGCACTTCATATAAAAGAAGTGCCATTTTCTGTTCCCCTTATTCACATTGCATCATACCTTACTCCACAAATAATGTAATTAAAGTCAGTGGGACTACTCATGGAGTAGGTGCTATTATTAAGTGTGAACAAAGGTATCAAAATCTGGCCTGTTAGGGTGGGATTTTCAAAATGATTTTCAAAAGTTAGGCCAATGTGGAGACCTTTTCAGAATCCCACACTTAATAATCAAAGTAAAGTAGGAAAGGTGTGGGGGCTGCCCACTAAACACTATGCCACCTTCAAAGAAAAAACAGATCTTTCACATATTTACTTCATAAAGCCTAACCTTGTGTCTACCTATAGGAGAAACATCCAGAGTTCTAACACAATTTACATATGATTTAGACTAGAGAGGGTTCTATGTGGCTATAGTTCGGATTTCATGGCAGGAGGTCAGAAGTGTTAGTTGCATTAACAGAGATTTTATTTCTACTTTTGCAGGCCCAGAAGTTCTTCCAGGTGTAATTGTGAGGACTGCAAAGAACCGCAGACAGTAATGCAACTTACCAAACATCTTCAAAGTCTCAAGAGAAAAATCAGGAAGTTTGAAGAAAAGTTTGAACAAGAAAAAAAATATCGGGTAAGAAAATAATCGGAGAAATAAGATAGGGTGATTGCTACATGTATTACGGATATTGTCCTTAAAGGTGTAGGATTGCTTCTTGCAAAATAATAGAAAAAAATTGATATCTGAGTGATTATAGGCCATAATTGTGAAGCTCTGTTTTGAGTTACCTTCATTGGGGAATATACATCAATCAAGATGGGTGATCGTAACATTTAACTACTTTAAAATATCCTGAACATCTTTAAGACAAGGGAATGTTCTGATACTTATAAATAGCTTCTTATTTGCATTGTAGATAAAATTATTTGCTTAGCAACTTTGTTCTGCTATGTACAATATATGGCAGAGAGAGCCCCAAGTATTGACTCTGGCTAAAGCAAAAGCTAAGGAGCCATTAATCTCTAGGGTATAGAATATTGTGTGGTGTGAGTAGAGGTCTGTAAGGTTTCACCCTCTTGTGCAGTTTCCCCATACACAAGTTGTGGCATCCTCCCCATTAGTGTCTTAGTAGCATCCCATCATCTATCAGAACATTCCTCTGGAGTCTGAAAGGGAAAGCAGTTTCCTTGGAGGACATGATGCACCTTTGCTACTACTATGGTATATGAAAGCTACTGCTATAGTATGTAAAAATAATAAGCACCTTCCAACCTTACTTTGTTGGAATCAGACCTCCTTATCTGTTTGAGATTATATTGCTCTCTAATGATTGGTCAATAAAGTGAATATAAGCCCTAAAGTTACTGGCAGCTAATAGAGATTCTCCTTTAGTTCAAATGGTGGAAGTAGCACTCTTTGAAGCGGAAGAACCTTGCTGCATCTATGAGATTTTGGTGGCAGTCATGGAACATAAAAAACAGATGTATTTGTCTCTTTCCATATTGAGCTTCTTATAGCTAGGTAGAGATAGATATGTAAAATAAACTAAATCATCAGAATATTGTGCAACAGCCTTGACCCCACTTCCAGACCTTGGGATTCATCATCTTCATCATTGGTCATTATTCAGCAACCTCTTTGAGGGCTACACCTCTGGTTAGTTTATAGAGAGTGGAACAGGATCAACAGACTCCACTCACTCAAATTGGTGATTTCCCTGGAGTTTTGTCTAAAAAGGGGAAGCCGGGGATCTGGGTGGGGTTTACTTCCACATTTTGTATGTCATTGGGCTGGTATAAGTGATAGTCAATGAAAGGTAGTGGGCATGAACAACTGTGATCTATATCTATTCAGAACTATGATTTTTTTAGGCCCTGTATTGCTGCAGTCATTTTAAAAGGTATTTTAAGATCCTTCTGCTGTGTGTGTGTGTGTGTGTGTTTATAATATATATATGTATAGCTAGATGGCCAATTTTGGGATTTGAATAACACTTGTGCTTAATAGTTGGCAAACCCAAATAAACACAGGGGCAACCCTGGAAGTAATAAAAATGTAAAGGTTTTCATCCATCCTTTTTTTGTAGATACTTGAATAGGGTTGGGGAAAACCATTGATCTGAGAAGCAGAAGAAAATGTAAAGTGTAGTACTCTTAATATTACCACAGATAAATTAATAATCCTCTTCTGATCTTCAGGAGAGTAGAGGAAGAAAGCACAGGGCAATTAGACAGATAATATTTCAGTTATATTAATCAACAAAATTAATCCTGAAGGGTATGGTGGTGATCACATCACTGACCTCATAGAGGCTTGGCAGTCCTTCAGGGGGGTGTCCATCTTAGTGACCTCACAAAGACCTGAGATATGTGAGCAGTCCCACTGGATACAGTGAGTGAATCAGTAAACCCCCCTATAGATACAGAGGGGAGCAGTGC